CTCCGAATGAAGCGGAAGAACGGCTGAAATTACCAAACGGAATGTTTCTCGTCGCGGTAGTCGTCCCTTAAACCGATTCGTTCGTTTTCCACGTTCGTTTGCCCGTATTAAAGCTAGATTCGTAATACCGAGGAATATCGATTTCATTTCGCCGATATAACGTTACAACTTACCTCTAGATGACTTACGACTGGCAGCGTTTGCGTACAACGATCTTTCAGCCCTCACGAGCACACCATTTTCACACACCACTTTACGTCCTTCGACGATTCTATTCACCGGTATAAAAGCGTAAGGTTACGCGTAAACGAATTATTATTCAGCGGGACGAACGACTCTCGCGTCTTATTAAACGATCCATCGCTGAAAATTTTCAACAACCTGCGCGAACATCGCGTTCTTCGAGTACAAATAATTCAGTTTTTTCTTTTCTTCTAAAAATGCCTCGTCGCTTCCCAACGAGTAAGTAGATATATTTCAGCCGAGACAGCTGCTAAGTTGCTCCTCCAGAAAAAGAAAATTGATTAAAACGCTCCGAAACAGAAAATAATTTTATCCTCCCTTTATCCAAACGGCCGCTCGAGAATCGGAGAAAAATCGTTTCTTTTTATGAAATTTCCTTAGAACGGCAACTTATTGGAACGTTTGGGAAAATATGTATCAGCGAAGACGGACAGCTGGAGGACAGCTGCGAGGAAACGAAAAAACCTGGCATCCCTTTTCTTCCTTTCGCGTATAAATCACCATAAATTACGTAACAAATTACCTACATATAGAATCTGGCGATCCTGATCGCGAGACACGCGTCTTTGACACGAGACATCGCACGCGCGTTTCCTCCGACGATATCAAACGTACGTTTCTCTTCGCGAATATTCGGACATCTTCCAATTTCATGAAAAACTCGATAATCGACTCGAGCTATTGGCAATACGATCGATCGGTCGGAATCGTGGACGCGACACGCCGATTCGGCACAGCCATTTGATTCACCGGTGACGGAGAAGAAAGAATACGCTTTCCGGACAAGCCGATACAAAGTTCGCGTCGATGCTCCGACTTTAACGCTGCTCCCCTCTATTTCTTCTACGTCCAGGCGTTATTATTTAACGTCACAGACCGAGAATCGGAGTCAGTTCGTAACAGCGAAACACAGAAAACGGTAAAAGCACACGATTCCCTGACACTTGCGAAGAGCAACGCGGTAACTCGGATCGTAAAATATTCCACCGTTCGATGGTCACAGCGTCGTAATGGGCGAAACGGCGCTCTCGCGTCACGAGGTTGTCGCGAGAGCATTCGCAAAATTCGAGATCGATCAACGTAAAAAAGCACGGCACGACTCATCCAGCCAACATACGTATCCGTCTACTTTTAAAGATGGTTTCCTGGCTCTCGCGTAAGCTTCCAAGTATAAGCAAGTACATGCATACATACGTACGTACGTACGCGCGCGCCGCGTCCCAACTCGCACGAGTTTCAATGGATCCTGTTTTCCTCAAATTTTCCTTTCTTCGTATTTTCTCCGTATTTTCTTCGTATTTTCTTCGTATTTTCTTCCACCCTATCTTTATATCTCTTTACTTTCGTTCCTCTATTTTAAGTTCTTGTATAAACACGGCGATTTTTACTGCGCCCGATTCTTTCACCGCTACGCTAAATTACGCTTTCGAGTTCATAATCGCATGTTAATACACCGTTTTTATTATCGTCTTCGTCGACCTGTTTAGATCGTGGCATCAGTGTTAAAAATGGCGTTTTTGTTCCAGATATTTATAGCGCACGGTAAGATCTCATCTTCGTATCTCCTATTCTCTTTTCACTTTCCTTTCAATTTTAAACATCCATTCCATATTTGATTTTCGATATTTATGCAAATTCGTATTCCCTACGAATACGGAAAAGTGCGCAGACCTAAGCAGACATTTATTTTGTATTCGTTATTTTGCTCGTTAAATACAACCTTTCGATACGTTGAATATCTTTTTGTCCTTAAATAACGCGATAAAATCCATTATTCGATTTCTTGGCCGTTAAAAGTCGAATGGAATCATTAAGGAAAAATCTTTGAAAACTGAAACGCGGAATATTCGAGCTTATACTTGCAAAGATATTCGAGCGTAAGAGATAAGCCGTATAACACGAATATTCCTATTGCCCATTTTGCAACGTTCTTTCTGGAGATAGAACTAAAAAAACGTAAACGAGCGATTTTATATAACGTAAATTTTACGCTACAAAATTTTTACGTTATAAAAATCGTCGTATCGAACGAGCAAAGTACAAATACGCAGTACACGCAGATCGTAGATAATACGACGGCAGTATCGGTGCGTTTGATTTGTACGCGATAGCTATAATAAATCTATGGAATGTTCGATAACAGCGCATTCTGCGAATACCAGCAGGCGCAGCAAGACAAAATCTACGAATCAAAGCGACGCTTGCTTTCGAACAACGAAGAAAGAAGTTACCCGATTACTGTGGACCGAAGAACAATTTCTGTACAACACGGTGCGTATCGTTGATCCAGCGTTCAACGTTTTATTTATTTGCCAGCGATGCTATAAATTCCGTGGAACGTTACGAATATAATACGAGTTAATTAATTTTAATCAACAGTTTGAGGCAAAGAAACGACCAAAGCTTTATCGTTTGAATAGCTTTACGTCGTATCTCCTATTCGCTGTCGATGTATGCATCGAAACTTTTTTTCTCCGCGAACAATTTAATTTGCTTTAAACGTTTTCACGAGCTGATACGAAAGTTGGCGTTTGAGCAACCGATTCCAATCGTATAAAAGTATTCCGAACGAGTCGTTTATCGTCGGGTCGGTTAATTTACGAATTAAGTTGTAACATCGATGAGACGCTTTTAATTCGACGCACGAAGCAACGAGGGTTTAAATAGCAAATATATAAAGTGGTACAATATACGGTAAAGTATACCGTTACCATACCCTTTAATAAAAAATTTACGCTTGGAACCGTTTGCAAACTGACCGATTGTGAATTCGTACACTTTGATCAAATTCAAACGTCGTGGTCTGAAACCAGTTTCTACGCAAATATCTTATGAAATATGCGAAAAGTGACTTTTTGTAATTTCGAAGAGACGCTGTTAAGGAGCTATCGCGATAATTTAAATGCACCCGTGCCGAATATTCTAGACTGCCTCGCTTTCCCCTCGAGTCAAATTTACGACGCCGGTCGAAAGTGTAAGCGGATAAGTTTTATCGAAAAATTCATAAAAGTTTCGTGGACAATGCGATATTGGAACGAACGGCGAATATCCGAGTGGCGAGAACATAATAGCTGCCACAGTTATAAATAGCGTGCGCCTTTCATGACGCAGCTACGCAAAATTGAAACGAAAAGTGCACACTTGCAAATTGTTCGTTTCATGGCCTTAAATCGAAACGCAACAAACTTCGTACGCTCTTGTTTGCGTGGAAGCGTTTTCGAACGAAACTACTATGCCCAAACGAACAACATCCTACTATGATCGTTGTGCGATGAAACGTGTAGCGCGTGAAAAGGGAATTCGTCGTTATACAAACGTAACTCTGCTGCTAAAAGTTCCAACACTCGCTGAAAAGTAATAAAAAAAAAAGAACAAAAAACTATACGGTTGTCGCGTAAGGGTACCATAATGCATAGTATATCATATACCGCACACGATGTGACATCGACGACGTTATGCGTATAGCACGTACAGACGTACCGAACATGGTAGTACATCGTAAAAGAAAAGAAGAAACGATAAATAAGAGAAAAATGTTACTGAATCTTACGAATGTAAAGATCATTCGTATCTCATAACGGAGACGTCCAATGGATTTAAAAAAGAAGGAAAGAAAAAAATATACATAGTCGTCGAACGAGGTTCTTTCTTCTTCCTGGAAGTCGGCGCAACAACGCACAGAAAAATATGATATATCCAAGACACGGTACTCGTTATGATATTTAATAGGTGAGGTAAATTTTTGCTCCAGTTCTATCTCTTTCGTCGTATCCTTAATTAATAACGTCGTTTAATAAGAAAAAAGAGACCAGTCGTTGACGGTATACGGTAGAAATTCGACTTTGATTTTCTTCAGAAAACTAAGAAAATGTAAAAGATCGACAGACACGAGTTATAGGTTTGACGAGTGAATTTATTAACGAAGAATACCTTGCGTTAGTATATCGGAAATATCGGATGATGTGACGCGATAGCCATTCATAATTTCCGGCTGGGTCTGGGAAATTTCTGGTTCCTTCGATAGTATAGAGCGGGAATTCCGCTCGTACAGTTTGGAATTTCCCATTGTTTTTGATTCAATTCCATTAAACTCGGCGAAAAACCGCAAATTCGAAAATCGATCGTTGCGCGGCTTCGAGGCGAATGTTCGGGCATCCAGCTCGTTCCGTTTACTTGCGCAATTTCCTCCTATGATGCCGATCGTGAAATTTGCGGCCCCCGACAATTACGTTATTCCGCGAATTTTCGTCGATTGGCCGCCTAATTATCGACAACGACAGTTTCGAACGAAAACTTTTCCATAACCAAGCTAATGCCGTTATTTTGTTCCGTGTTTTCGACGCAGAAATTCGGCTTTTGTCTCTTCGATATCGACGCGCGACATCAAATTCCAAAGTTTACAGATAGTAGACACACGTTCTATTACTTTTTTGTTACACGTAAAAAACAGGCATACGATTTAGCCGTGCGCGGCAATCTTGTATTTACGAAGATTTTACTTGTGTATCGTCTTTGCGAGTCAAACAACCATCGATTCTATATATTCGATCGAACAAGTAATTCGATGAAAAACGTTCTTGATTCTCCGATAGTCGAGGAATAGGCCACAACGAGTCGTTGATATAGTAAAAGCGATTACTCGATTCCTCGTTCCTCGAGATCTCGATGGAACGTTTACTTTGAAACGACAACTATAATTGTCGACTAAGAGCGACGGTAAGATTTAACAAGATCGAAGAAAAAGAGTCGTTACTCACGTTAACATGTTCGTGCGCGACTGTAAATGACTCCAACTGCAACTGCAACTGCAACAGCAACAAAGATAAACGATTAATTCAAAGTCTTAAATATATCAACGCTATTGATTCGTGCATTATACGAGATACGTGCGGTATGCGATCTATTAGAAACAACGACGGCCCATTTTCTATCTTACGATAAATTACTAGATTCGCTTAACAGAGTCACAAATTTCCGAAAGTATCGTGCATTACGAAACAAAGATGGAAATTGGTTACAGGGAAAGTACGAAATCTACGAAGCGACGACGTGTAATTTTAATTCGGACGATAAATATACGTCGGCTGGTTGAAAAGTCGAAGCAACCGAGGCTCGTAAATTTCAGCTAATTGCTTGGCCAAGGTGTGGGGTTGGAGCGAATAGCCATGAAAATTGTGATCGATAAACAAGATAAATAAAATACCATGGACGAAGCGAAAGAAAATAGTAGAGTGAAAACGCCATTCTTTGAGATTAACAAATTATCGTGAATTTCGTCGAATATGTAATATTTGCGACAAGAACGTATGAAACTATGGTCTTTGCTCCGACTATTAGCTCAAAAATTTAATATCCGACCGATAAAAATCAAATTATCTTAATTTGTATGAAGAAAGGGGGATTGGAATTTTTGTACGATGAACTGAACGAAGCTTTAAAATAACGTTCTACGTTCTACGTACCTAATTCGTATTAAATCCGTATCAAACCGTACGAAATCCGATAAATCTTACATTTCGCTTTAATAAATCGCAAGTACGTGGATCTCGTATATGGAACGAACCCTCTAACTCGACCAAGTAAATACGAAACAAATGGTGGTCGTCAAACGCGATACTTTTAATTTTTCATTCTCCTTATTTCTGTGTTGGAAATACCGTTTAATTCGATTAATTTACACACTTGCGTTTATTTTGCGCAGGTGCTCTGTAATATGTAATTTACATTTTAATCGAATTCTTTACTTTTATCGATACAAGGGAAAATCGTAATTCGATCTGAAGCGACTTTTCGTTTTGTATTACGGAAAGGAACTGTGCAAACACAACGCTCGTCGCGCATCGAGAGAAATTGGCGAGCTACGAAAATATTTTAAATTCGCAGAAGCGGAAAACTGTGCGAAGAGTAAAATTCTATCTTTCGAACGGGATCGATGATCGATTTCTTTTGTCTTCGATATTGATTTCGGTATTTTCAGGTTTCAATGGTCCAATGTAGTTTTCCAGCGAATCGCCGAAAACGATAATGGGCGATTCTTAACTTCAATCTATATCGATCGTATCGATGGATAGTTGCGGTAACGAGCATTTTCAACATTCGCGCGTTAAAAAACAGGAACGATGGAAAATAATCGAACGTTTGAACGTTTTGTATCCGACTTAGTTTACGCGAAATAAGCTTACACGCGTGTGTGTCGCGCGGTAACGCGATATATTTAAGTATATATATATTTCGTTGAAACGATATTGCAGCATATTAAAATATTGATGACGCTTTAAAGTAATTAAGAGTACAACTACCGAGACGCGTCGAATGCTGTCACCTCGTTCTCAATTTTGCCAACAACTGGAAGAAAATAACGTTGAAATACGACATTAGGTAGACGATAAGAGGGCAAAAGTAAAAGTACAAGATCGAAAACTGTTCGTTTAATAACGGATCGAGTTTGATATATTCGACTTTTAAAGTCGGTGAAAGTCAAATTAAAAATTAAAAGGAGAAAAGCTTTTCTCTAATATCGGGCTATGCGTTTCGCGAATTGTTGCGAATCGTTGCTCGAGCGAATCGATTAGAAATGGAATTTCAATTATCGCGCACGCCGGTTGATAGCTAGATGGATTTGGAGGCTGCACTTTGCGAGAGAAAGTTTAAAGCAGTTCAAAGCGTCAAGACGCATTGTTCGATGCCATTAACCAGGAACCAGTTTAATTGATTTCTTAAATTAGCTTCGATATATAGATAGACGGATAGACAGCTTAAATCGTGGCAGTCGAGGAAAATGAACGTGGGTAGACGGCGCGTGGAAGAGGTAGCTGCAGGAACGTAGACGCGTTGGACGAAAAGGGCCGACAGAGAAAAAAACAGAGGAATTAACAGTAACGGAAAAAGAAAGCAAAGAAAGAACGAATTCGACGCGACGCGACGCGATGAGGCGGCATTGTTCAAGGAGAGAAAAACGGAAATGGGTTTAGCAGTTAAATATCGAATGGAATAGGGAAGCAATCGGTACGAAACGAAGCGGAATGACCTTATTGCTTAGGTGGGGTGCAATCTGCAATTGCTTTGGTTCGTTACTACAACTGGCTGCCGCTGATTTGCGGCTTTCAATTTCATCCGAGTAGTCCGCGCGTCGCATCTTACGCATCCGACGATAATTGTTACTCGTTTACCACATGCTCGTCACCGATATCGAATTCCGTATCGTACGTCGTAAGTATACTTTGTCTCCTAATTCACGCTACGAGATCATCGGAGAGAGGGCGCGAAATTGCACAACGCACAACCCGATAAAATCTAATTCGAAGTACGTAAAATCGAATAATTAAATTTACCCGTAAGAGATTCTTTTATCCGCGTTACGAGATTCGCAGTTTGTCGTACAGTTTGCCGTGCTATGGATAATCTTTAAGTTGTCTTTCAGGGCGAACCCTGTATCGAATCGTCTACAGGGAGAGCGTCTATCCGGCGCTGTCGGATGTACCGTGCAGCGCACAAGTGGCAGGACGACAGTTCTTTCTTTAGGCAAGAGATGCGCGAGGTGTCGAGCTCGAGTTACGATATCGGCGAAACGTTCGAGGACCTGTTCCTCTTGCCGTACACCCGCAAACCCCGAACAACGTCGAACGTAGCAACGTTAACTACGACGAATGCTAAATTCTCGCGTTAACGGCGCCGAACGTTGAGCGTGAGAATCCAAGTGGCGAAAGCCCGCCACTCTCTGCGTATGTACTTTCTTCACCGAACTTCGATGCTTATCGACAGTTTCGTAACACGTAGCTTCAATGGTCATTACAGAGATAAGCAGGCGGGCTTGTAACGCTAAGGGTTTATTAAAACTTAACAACTATACGATATATCGACTTATGTAAGCTTTTATAAGAACACGTTGCATCAGCAACATGGGAAAACCGAACTGCATCGAAGACAAGATCTCGTATATCGTACCTATGGTAATGCGAATAAAAAAATTAGCGCAATACGTACACCGAAAACGTAAAGATGTATCTACTCGATAAATTTCGAGCTTCTCGATAACCAAGATATTATTTATATTTAGATTCGGCGAATCACGAGACGAGCAGATACGAGAGTATCTAGAAATACGAGAAAATGATTTTCTATGACGTTTAAGATTCCAAAAGTTCAGACAGTTGCTCGACTATCGTAAAGTTATTCTATTTATGCTACTTGTTCGTGGTTACTCTAAAACTGAAATATACGTATTCCGAACTAAAAATAGTGGTCTGCAAGTTTTCGATTCTGGATGGAACATTCGCTATTTTCGAGACTTGGAGCAAACAAAAATTGTTTTTTTCATCGGTATATTAGTTTCACGATAGGAAGAAACATAGAAAAAACAAGTAAGATATTCGAGCTTTTGACCGGGTAACGTTTCAGATACAGACAGATACAAGAACGTTTCTCACGAAAGCGTTCCAACGTTTCTAAATACCTTTTACGAATATATCGCGCACGTTGTACCGTACGTTTTGAAATTTTCATTACAGCGTTAATGAAATATTTAGTACTCTATGTAGTTTACTTTGTCGAAACTAAAAGTACGCTGTTATCAACCGTCGAGGTTTAAGTATAGTATAGTCGAGATCCGCAGACTGGCAGCGTTACTTTGCGATTCGGGCTTCGAAGCCACGGGCCTGTGGGCGTATTTGTACAATTACGAAAACTGACCCGTCCATACCTCGATGCACCATCTGTGTACGATGGAAAGACTACGAGTCTGAGAGGCCCTTCAAATTGATTTAGAGCTAAACAATACTCGATGGTTTCGAGGGCTAAGAAAACCAAACGCTGGAGAAGACGTAGAGTTTTCCTAGAAGCGGGAATCGCTTCAACGTCGAAGACAAAGATGACGAGTGTCCACTCGTTCTTGCAAAATGACGTCTCACCCAGAACAACCAGACATGAATTTCGTACGACGAGTGAAACGTTTATATACGCGAATCAACGTACGAGAGCGCGTGTGCGAGACATGGGAAAAAGAGAAGCTCGCTAGAAAACGAATATTTCGAACCGAATCCGTGTAACCTCGGCCTTCTTTCGCGCGTATACGACACCTGTGTGATGGATACGGATTATACGTTCCTACATATGTATATGTAATTTGCCTTCGTACGAATTTCATTCGATATACGTATTCAATATACGTACGCCGGTATTCGATTTTAATACATAAACGTGTATCGTGACACGAGAAAAGAGATTCGTTATTACTATTGTGATAAATTATTCTGGCGAGAGCAAAACAACCAAGGAAAAAAGATTAATACGATTATTTATGTCGCTGCACGTACAGCGAATAATTATCCGTGTCTTTTATTCTTTGTATCTTACATATTTACTTATCAAGAGACTGTGGATTTTCACGTAAATTCGCAGGTTTATGGAGCGAGTTGGAAGAATGGAATCTAAGTAGAGATTCGTTTCAACTTCTAAATTTTCCATATTTTCGTAGATTATATACGTTCTATAGATTTTTGAGCACTTATCCATGAGCGCCATGAAAAATATATAGCTGACTATTCTCTAGGCAACTCGTGCACGCTTGTACGTACCTTCGAAGTGCAGTTAGATCCGTCTGCAGACATAAATTTATTTTTACTGCGGTGAAAATTCTGCAAATGATCGAGGGGAGCGAGAGCGCGTAAACTCGCGGCGACGTGGCGAGATTCGAAGTTTTGCAGCTTCTGCTGTCAGTGGAATCGAAAGGCATTTACATTTATAGCGACTTCCGTCGTAATGAAATCTCACCATCGCGCGAACGCGCGCAACTTTGCCGAAACCATTA